AAAGGGAACAGAAAAAAACAAGAATCAGGGAAAAGTTTTTCTGCAACCATTCACCACTCACCAATCCACCAAATTTGTTGCTATGGCAGCAGAGAAGCCGATCAAGGTGAAGCTCAGCTCGTAGCAGCTGGTCAAGGCCAGGCCACCCATGACAGGTACCAGTGACAGGTTCACCCATAGCCCTGTGCGTTCCCTGAGCATGAGCCAGGCTATAATGACGGTGAAAAGGGGGGCGGAGCTCTTGATCGTCTCCGTGAAGGACACCGCGATGTGCTTCAAGCTGACCAGTCCTAAAAGAACAGTTAAGAATCTGGAAAGAGAAAACTTTGAAAGTTGTCAATCTAATGGCATTTTGTAAATATTGTTGAGGGCGATTCTGCTGCCTTATCACAACTGGAACGTAAAGGATACTTCAATGAATTCCCAGAAAAGCAGAGTAAAGGCTACTATAATGATGTCCCATTCTTGCACTAGAGGTTCAGGAAGTAGCGATAATTTTAAAAGTACATGCGAGCATACATGTACATGTATGTCATCATTCAATACTCCCAAGTGGTGGTGAAAAAAGATGAAAATGCTGTAGATTCATACACCCTGTTGATACACAAAGAAATGGGGTTTTAGAAGGACACTGGCTACTTCAATTCCTGGAAAATTCAGGCACCTGCAGTAAACTTCAGGCTAAAAACCTTCCACAGTTGCATACAGTGCCCACATCAAAATGGTGGGGCTTGGCTAGCATCATGCAAAAAACCTCTTTTCACAAATCAGAGCATGTGCTGAGCTGTACCCCGTTTGACACCTCTATGTATAGAAGTGTGTGATCATTGCACTGCTTTTCATAACAACTCCATACACTTCCGTGATTAGAGTATCACTTGATCCATTTCTGACAATCCTGAGTACATGGGTCTCATCTGGTGACCTATATACCCGTCCCAAGGACAGAAAAAAAAACAAATTTCCAGAGGCAGTGTTTGCTTGTTCAAAGTTTACAATCTCCGCTTTCACATTAATCCTTACTGGTGAAGGAGTCTTCAAATTTCTTTCCGAAATGATGGAGGCTTGGCAATACGGCCTCACTTACCACCTAATGTAAGTACCAAATGGTGACAGTATCAAAACATTTCCCTGAAAGAGGACAGGTAGTTTGTAAAACCATGGCTGAGAGATCACAGGTAGATACGAGTATTCCAGTCCAAACTGACCTATTCCCCTGCTAGCATCGCTCTCACATCTTTCATTCTACCCACCTCATAATGCCGAGGCCAATCATGTTCCACAGGAATCCCTTGGGTCTGTCGTCCTGGCTCTTGTGACGGTAGAGGCAGCAGGGAATGTACATCTTGCAGAAGCCGCAGACAGTGGTTACCAGCATCTGGGTGGAACCTGCCCATGAACATTCGACAGAGATCACTCAAAGCGACAACCCCACCTTCAGATTTGCTCCACGACCCCTGATAAAGTGTGGGGGGGGGGAATATTGCCAAGTGCAGAAAATGTCCTTTTGGCAGAAACAGGCTACCAACATTGTCATAGGGTGTGTTGCTTGTGAACAGTTCTCACCCAATTTTCACAGGTACATTGAAATTTGCTTAGCCAATTATCTGCTCTGTTAGAATGAATCCACAAACTTACTAAGTTGCATTCCACTTTGGAAATCCACACACTTGAGCGAGGAACACAATAAAAATGTTATGTCCCAACTATAGCAACTGCCCAAACTACAGTCCTAACTTGGGTGCTGCAGTAGGGCTGGCCCAACTATAATAGAGTGTGCCAACGTGTTCACTATCATATGCCATTATCATTTCACATTTGTAATGGCTAACCAAGCTAGTAGAATTTAGCTTTTGCTTGCGTCAAAGATGACATACCAGGTTGGTATTTTTGTAATTTGTGTGAGGCACAAAACATAGAAGAGGTTGAAGAAATCTTCCCGAAGGACTCTGTTGACTACAGTTGGACCAGCCAAAATGAAGAACCTGTACAGTACCGAACAAGTACATGTAGTTGTGAATGATGTTTAGTTGGGACGTTACAAAACACTGCTTGTTCCCCTAACGAATGGAAGCGCTATTGCAAAAACGCAATCGTCACCTCCCTAACTCACCTAGCATCCCTGGCTCCCCACCGAGCGTGCTCAGTATGTACTTGTTCAGAAACAGCGTGCAGAAGCTAAAGAAGTACCACAGCGCTAGATAGGCCATGGCCCGGACAGTCAGTAGATTGTCCTGCCGGGGACGGCTCCGTTTAATGCGCAGCCGCGACCTGGGACTCGTAAACCCATCTCGGCCACACTGTGGCAGAGTCGTCCTGGGAAAGGACAGCGTTTTGTGGTTGGCACTGGAATGGTTCAGAGTTGGCGATGTCGGTGGGGTATGGGAGACGTGGCGAGGGGAGCTCACTTTGTCCTCCTTCCCGGAGCTTATTTGCCGAATGTCTGACGAGGACAATGACAGTGAAGAGGATGATGACGACTTGGCGACGTTTCCACTGCTCGCGTTGGATTCCTTTCCAGAAGGGAAACGCGTCCGTGACCCCTGTCTCTCAAGTGGGTGAGGGCGGTGCCTTGTGTCAGTCTCATCGCCACGCTCAGTTCCCGAGATCTGGTCAGCTTGGGCTATACCTTGAGGCGTTTTCTCCTCGATACTATTGGGCTGATGAGCTGCCATAATGATGGCCTACTTCCAAATTACAGCAAAAATGTAATACAATAAACATCTCTTCCACAGATTGTAAGATCTGTATAAGTTTGTAGATTCATGCATATTGCACTTATGTCCACCATCATCTTTTCACAAAGTGTTTCTCCCTGAGAAAACTGGGCACTGTCCAAATCCTCACACCTCACCGGGACGTGACAGCATGTGTTCACCTCAACCTGGTCAACTGGTAAAGGAGACAAAATTCTTTCAGATTTTTTAATAAAAATGGAAGCTACAGAAAACCATGCACAAAACATAATAAGCCTAGCTGCATGTCAAATAAAATGTTCACAGAAATTAATGGAACTTGACTGTGCTCGAAGGAGACAAAATTACTAAAGAATTCCAGCCCTAGGAAAACATGTAAAATAAAAACTTGCTTACTTGCAAGCTTGCTTTTTGTGGGTTCCCTGCATCTCTTGGTATTGGAATCCCAGCTTGGTTCACATGTGGATTGGGTTTTCAGTCTCTACCTGATTCTGTGGGTTTACCCAAAATTTTCCTTGGTGGGAGTTTTGTTCCCACCTCTATAACTGTAATTACTTCTCATTGTCTTCTCTCTCCGGGTTTCTTCATGCTTGTGAGCCCTTTTGAGGAATCCTTGGTGTCATTACAAGAAATGATTAATAATATTCATACCATGGAGGAAGGACAAAAACTACTAACTGTTGAATCTTTATCTTTACTAGGCCACTGCCCGCATACTGCGGAAACAGCTGCCAAAAAATTTCATTATTTTCAAAAAAAAATATTGTTTCAGAAAATCCATTGTTTTTCCTGTCGGATATGGTTAAAAATTGGTAGTAGCGTGTCCGCGTACAAATGGCGTGATGCAAGGACTGAGAGCTAGTCTACTTTCAAGGTTAGTTCCCTTCGCATGGATTGTTGTGCGGTGTGCACACCAACTAATGAATAACTGTCTGAATGGAAATCTGGGATTTTCATTCTCATAGTCATGGCCCTAGTGACATGCATGACATGTGGAAAATGTTCACAATGTAGGCGTACAAGATGATGATGCAAGACCACATTACATTTCAGAATTAAGCTAAATCATGGAGGAAGGACAAAATACACAAAAAGTAAACACCATCTGCTTCTACTTCATTCCACCCCATGCTAACCAATAATCAACAACGATCGTGACGCGCGCCAGGTCCCTTATTTCACCACTTTTACTTAGGCCTAGGCCTACTGTGAAAACCAATTAGGCCTAGACTTGACAACAGGCATGACAGGTGGCGAACCCGGCCGGCGACGTTATCTCTGCAGCGCAGAATACAAGTGCAGACCATACATGATTTGGTGGAATTGTCATCAACTGCGTTTCTTCATACCTACCATCATTATCAGCGCAACCAGTACCTATCAAAGTGGGGTTTTTATTCTGAAAAAGATCAAATTAGGCCTATTACTAGCAACAGCTGTTTGTTAATTAGGCCTATCTCTTATTTGCTTTTTTGAGCTCATAAATTTCACGGTCGATGTCACGTCGCGTCGGTGATATGGTGGTAGTGGCTGAATGTGCAAATGGTACTCGTGCGCTTTCATAACAGATTTCCTTACTAGGTAAACTGGTAACCAGTGTGCATCCACGTGTCAACAAGCCAACAAAAACAACAGAGGTCGCCCGTGATATCGTGTACAATGTACTGCACATGTATTATGTACATGTATATAGGTATATTAATCCAGCAATTGAGAATCATTGACATCTTGCGATGGAATTTTCTCAGGTGCGCTTCTTATGCATCTGTATACTCTTTTTCGTTGCATGAAATCTATTTGACATCCTCCGTGGTTTAAGACTTTTGAAAGCAATGAAATCATTTCCGAAAAGGGCTTGCTCATACTACACTAACAATCGCAGACTGTGGAAAAGACACCACAGGGGTCACTTCTAATAATTAATACGGGGAAGTCGTGCAGTTTTGGGACGTCCCCAGTTTTGCTTTACAATAGGGAAATTTACATTAGAATAAAAAACTAAAGCGGATATCTTTTAAAACAACAAAACAAAAATTAAGAACACAAAGGTGCATTTTTAAGGGCTTTGATAAAATGTTGCATTGCATGACTTGAACCATCATGTATCTATGAGTATAGCCCTCTCCTGCCTGCCGCGCGTACCCCGCCCCGACACCGTGTGTTTTTCTTCCTCCATGTTGTGACGAAGGAAAGCTGTAGCTAGCAATAGACAGCAATGCCATCCGTACGTCTGTGAAGCTGAAAGCATTGTCCACAAGTTTGTGGCTGGCTGTACTTAGATGTGGAGATTGGACAGATGCTGCGTTTCCTATATCATTGAGAGAGCGCTCTAACGTACGTCGACGCAGACTAGACCAGGGCCGTTTTCCAAACTCGACTTGGGCTCCGTCGGAGCTTCAACTGTTTTGGTTTTTGTTTTGTTTTGTTTTTTTTACTTCCTGACTCTGAGAATGTAAGCGCCACAAAACATCAAGTAAAATGCAAAAGAGTCAAAGGTTACAGTACTTCAATTTAATTTAAACGCTTCAGGCCCACAATCGGGGATTGGTTTCCTACACGAAGCCTGAGACGGAGACGAAGTTGGGCATTGGAAAACGGCCCAAGAATTCATCAGTCTGTCCTCCATATACCATGTACTTGCTTGCCATTGCACAGCTTAACAAAATATTATTACCGAGTCAGGGTATAGGACGCCGTACAGGAGATGTCGTCTGCATGCAAACGTAAACCATGATTTGTACATACACTGACATAAGGCATAGGCAGCTTGTAATATTGGACTACATTGCTCACTCATGTTTTCTGACTGGTTTGCGAAATAGCCGCAATGAGATCAGTAGTGTTTGTGGAACGCTTGGAATTTGAGTTTTCCGGAAACGTCTTCCCCAATGCAGTAGTTTTGGGGGACGTTGATAACGATAATGTAAGTCATCATGTCATGATGTGTACTGTTTGCTCACATAAAAATGTCCATGATTCCATCCATGTGCAGGTCGTTCCATTTATCAATGTTTGTTGCACTCGCGGCTGAGCAAAGGGGCAACCCTCTTTGTGCAGGGGTTTGCATGTTTTCCTCATTGTTGCCGCATTATGACTGTTAAAAATAACTGGAATGTTTTCGGTATAGCCTAGGCCTAGTACAGTAGTACTAGTAGGCCTATGGAAGATATTCACACAGTGCATAAACAGTGAAATTCGGGCCTAGGCCTAGTTTATATAGATCACAACTCTGTTTTGGCCCAGAGATTGCATGTGAAATATGCCTGGAAATACCCACCAATTGACCTATCAGAGAGAAGAATCAAGACTGAGTGATGTCATTTTAACCACTAGAATCAATAGGGTTCCATGCACAGGGTGAGGGTGTAAAGTGTGAAGCAGCATCGGTATCAGATTGTCCGAGGTCAGCACTCCGGCTTTCACACCCCTTGCCAACTTGCACCCTCGCGCTGCCTGCATTTAGGAACATTTAGGAACAAATCCTCTCGATTGGCATGACGCCACTGTCTCTGACTATGGTCTTTTAACACACGACAAAAGGGGAAATATTTCCCTTCACACTACATGTTTTAAATGCAGAAAGAGTTCTATATATGGGCAATGCTAGTTTTTCCTTAAAATGTAATAACAACTGTCAGAAAGTGATAATATGTCCCAAAAAGTGAAATTAATGTCAGAAAATTTAAGCATTTACTTAAAAAACACCTTGTTTTTTTTTCAAAACAAGTCTCCTAGTTTTGTCTAGGGGCACCAAGTGTTGTCCGTAAATGGAAACTTTTCCTTCATTAATTTGCAGAAATTTAATAAAGTTCCAGGATGTCCAGTGGCGATAATTCAGCACTACATTGCATGTGGTTTTTTCTCCCCTTTTCTCAAGAACCGTAAACAGGGACTTTTGTATACTCTTCCAGTATAAACGGAGGAGTATACAAAGAGCCCTGTTTACATGTAAGGGTCTACCTTTTCCCCAACTTCAATCTCACTTCCCAATCCCGTCAGTGTTTGTCCATTATTCCATCTTTTCTAGTCCTATGGGTAAAGTTTGTGAGTTATTTGATCAGTATCCATGATACAATGTGAAAAATCGGTGATGATTATGGATACGCACTCAGATCCACTCATCAATTAGTATTTCAACCTATTGGTAATACACATAGTCAGTTATTGGATTTACATGTACATGTATTTCAGGTGTCTTACCATTGGGGTCTTGTCTTGTCTTCATTTACTCTTCAACTGTCTAACAGTGCAGCACTCTGCATCTCATAAAGTACAGTGGTTAAGAAATAAGAAATGACTCTTTGAACTGCAGGAAAATGAGTTGGTTGTTGGAAATGTTGAGGGTGATCTCATCATCTTCAAAGGGAGCAACACAGTGCCATGGGCCAGCTGCTCTGACCTTGGAATGGTACGTCATCTATGATGGAGGGCCTACATCATGTATATGTTGGGTGCAATGAGCTGACCTGCACGATTGCCGAATCACTTTTTGTAGTTGGTGAATCCTGTATGAAATCTCCAACATTACTTCCCTTTCTTGAAACAGTCTTTCGCAATTGTGAACTAGATTGGAACGGCTGATGGTAGATTTCCGACAAACCATGCAATTAGATCGACTGATCTCACAAAGAAATCAACCAATCCCATCCAACATATACATGTACATATTGTACAGGCTGGCAATTTCTTTGTGCTATAGAAGGCGTACATAGCTACAGAATCATTTTGAAGTCAGGTTCAGATACAGCTAGAGTTATGTCAGTCAGTGAAAATAACAAATCAAGGCAAGCAAGGGCAAGTTATATGTATTTTGTTTTTATTTACATTTAACCTGTCACTTGATGTGTTACTATTCAGCTCACCACTATTTACTGAATACCTAGCCCTTCATTTTCAACAAAAGAGGTCCGGGAACTTGGTGAGGAATTTCAACACACCCCTGGAACACCTCGGTGTTCACACCAACTCACAGGTGTATTTGGTCCAGGATTTTGGCAAATCTGATCCTATACATACACTCTATTGTCAGTTTCCTTTATACACCTTTATAAATGCAGACATTGCTTTCATAGGAAAGGAATGGGTGGCTTTTTCAGTATAAACTATAATATTATGGAGGCTCAATATCCAATCCCCACTTTGGCCAACTTTTTTCTAAAGACACATACGTGTACCTTCCATCAAACTTGAAATTAGTCATTACTTTTAGCTGATTTGTCTGTGCACAGATAATCTGCATCGGCATTGGCGATATCTGCAACTCAGGAAAGGTATGGAAAACATCCACAGCTTAATAAAGTGCACCGTTTGCACATTCTGACTGAAGTATTTGTATTAAAATACTTGAATGGTTGTGATGTTTGAATTGGTCAGATGAAGTAAATGTGTTCACTTGATAAATGCTACTTTTATCCCTGTGTCTTAAACCATGATCTGAAGATTTTTTGTTGCTGTTCTTCTAGAATTGTTTGGTTACTATAAGCGGTGAGGGCTTATGTAGTATATTCAACAACAGTCCAGCCTCCAAAGCAGAGGTACTGTATGTACATATATTTTCCTTTTAACTATTCCATTTTCAGTACATTGATAGCATTTTAGGAATTTTTTATGATGTCATTTCTTAGAGTGTGAAACCAGCCTGAGCCAGAACAGCTTTGGTTTTGTACGGTTTTTTGTTCTGGTTGTTTTTTGCTCTTTTCCCATTTTTGTTGTTTTTCCACTTTTCCCAACAAACTTTGTACAAATTTATCAAATCTAATCAAATTCAACCGTGACACTTGCATGCATCATCAGCCACTTGAAGATGTGTACCTGAGAGTGATGTAATGATGATGTCATTATGTGTCAGAGGACACCACCTCAAGGATGTAAGTAACAAAATGTAACATCAACAAAACTACCGATTGGATCAGGCTAAAACTTTGTATAGTGTCGTTCTGTTGCATGCAAGCATTCCAATGACCTCACAGTGATATCATCGTGCAGTATTCAGTTTGTTCAATATCATTTGGACTTGCTTCAGACACTACTTGTCTGTCACATACATGTAGTCCGTGGAGCAAGCAGAGGCTGATGTTGCCAATGGCGATGCAACATTGTCACCCTGTTACACCCAACATCTTTCTGCCAACATCAAAGTGGTCCTCATTGATGACATTGGTGAGTCATTTCTGATTAAACCAAAAGAAAGATTCCTTCACGGGTTAATTTGGTTTGAAGGTTGTAGGAAAGAGATAATGATTACGCCAAGCATTGTGAAAAATGAAGCTGACTGGTTCAAAGGTTTGGGCAATAACCCACAAGGAAACAAAACTATTCAACATTAGAAAATAGCATAAGTTGGAATGCATTTTTCTGTAAACCTGTTGCAGTTTTCGTTTTGCACTTTTTTTTTTCAATGGCAGATGGCGATGGTAAGACAGAGTTTGTTGTCGGTCACACTGACAGAGTGGTGAGTGCCTATCGCTGGGTGGAAAAACAGCAGCCGACGACAAACGTGAGTTGGATTGTTCAACCTGAAATTTGTTGGGAAATGACTCCTCATCAGTTTCCTTATGTTGGGTGTTGAAGAAATGTCAAACATTGTTTGTAATTGTTCATCATAATAACTTTATTTTATTTTACAGGAGACAAGTCCCTTCATACCTGGCAAGTTTATTTTGCTTCAAAAATGGCACCTAAATGGGCAGGTACGTTTTTATGTTCTTGGCTCTGATCAAATTTGGAGAGGGGACAACTTTAAGGTGCTTGAAATTGCATATTTCAACTTTGTTTGACTGAAAAACTGAGGAAAGATAAGGGAGTTGTCCAGATATCTATGAATCAGGCCATGGGATTTTATGGATTTTTATACCTTCTTGATGAGAGTCCCTAAAATATGTTAAAAAACAGGAAAACTGCTAGTTAGGCTTTTATTCAAAAGTCATTCAACGATCGTGACAGCACCCATGCATGCTGATATTTTGAGTTCTGCAGCACCAACTAAGCTGAAGCTTTAATGTGTCAGTTTTGTCAATGTGTTGAAGTTTGATTGTTCATGTCCTATCTGGAATCAGTAATAATGAATGTAAGCGAGCCCACCGGCCTGTCATGACAGAGAAACAACAGAAGACAAAAATCTCCATGCTGGCATTAGTAGACTTTCAAATTGCTGCCGTTGTTCATCTGTTCTATCCTCAGATTGGCTCCCTGTCTCTGAGCAGACACCCAGACGGACGACCCAAGCTGATCGTCTCCCAACCCGGCTGCAACTACGCTGAACTCCTCTGTAGCTGGGTCAGAGGTCAAGGGGAGGAGCTAACTGGTCCAAACAAGTACGTGAGAACATATGCAACTACTTCATCATCAAAACATTCTTTGTTAGATTCATGAAAATTTGCCTGAAGAATCTTTCTCTTGAGTTTTCTGCCTTTGTGAAAGATTCTGATAGGAAAGAAGATTTTCCTATTTCACCGTTTAGTTTGAAGGATTTCTGTCCTTGTTTTCTGGGGTACATATTGTTTTGGATCATGAAACATCCTCTAGGAAATTGTGTCGCCTCTTTGTCAGCATTGGAAAGTCATTAGCTATGTATATCATTTGACATATCGGTCAGAAACCTTTTCTCATTAAGCAGACCTTGCGAAGTATAGGTCTGTGCTGGGCATCTTCATGAACCCACCCATGGGCCATCTTGAATTTGTCTTTCAGCAGCAAAGCAGAACCCTTTGTGAAGTGGCATCCAATCACCAACAAGCGCGCTCGTAATGCAAACGTCTCAACAGAGCTGGTCGGCAGGATCTGTCGCTCAGGTCGGTTGTCGTCCGTTTCTTCAGCCCCTCAGTTACAGTTCAAGACCCCTTTCAATGCGACAAATGCTTGTCTCCCTAAGCAATACATGTGTTTGTTCTTCCTCTGGTCCTGTGTATCACAAAGGCTTAGAAAACTGGCTTGGAAAATTTCTCAGTGTTTGAGGGGATATTGAAGTAACATGCCTGTTCAGATTGGAAGTGATTTTACAAATAGTCATTGGAAGAAGTTTAAAAAAATGAAAGCAAAAGAGCATTTGTAATACTTAGCCAATTCACCTTGTACCAAACACAGCTGTTCAGGATTTCACTTCTTTGTATGGGCTGATTATCGGATTAAAGTGAGTAATGAACTTCAAAGTTGACTGTTTCAGGCACACTGAAACAGTTCATTCTGAGCTGAAACTGTGCTAGTCTTGTTTGAATTTTTGTCGTTAGCTGACTGCCCAGAAAGGTCTGGGGCTGACGCACAAGAAGGGAAGGATCCCCAGCCCAGTAGAATGGCCATGTGCACGTTAGACGGTGAGTCACCAATGCAGGACCAAACCAAAAATTGGCCTTAAACAAAGAGTTTATGTAAGGAAAGGTGAACGTATGTAGTTAATGGGCATAGCTTGGGCCATTTAAACCAGCATACTGAAGGAGAAACTGGCAGGGTGGTTGGGGACATTACTGGGATGTATGGGTTAACCGATACTGCTGTTCTGGACTGATCTCCCTGGCTTAGAATGTTAGATGTTGAACTGAACGTGACGTGAACGTGATTGATAATCCCTGGTTATCCTTTTATGCATGGCGTTTGATATCCCAGTCACAGTGTGCTGCTCTGACCCTGTCTGTATAAATCGTCTAATCCCGTGAAATTGCCATCAAAATTAATTCTACACATTCGGTGCTTGTCCCCTCTGGTTGCTTTTCACTAGATGAGCGTATATTACATATCTGTGTGGAAACATTGTGTTGTGGCCTTTCAGAGACTCATGTGCAAAGTATTGTAAGTGTTTGGCTGATGAGGAATCATGTTCATAATCTTCCTGGGTGATTTCTTGGTACATTTTCTCCATGGCATTGGTTAACTGCTTACAGTCCGCTGTTGTACTGGCATAATTGCCTACCACTAGGGAGAACAGCCAGAGCTAACGCAATGTGTTTACTTTGTCAGTACGAATTTGCCACAGAAATCAAGACCACTCATTTTAGTTGCTCAAGCCATGACTCTCCAAGAGACCTAATATACTCAATTTTCAGTGCCCATTAGTGAGTCCTTCCCCTTTGAATTTTACTCCATCGTCCCCAGGTACACTGATGATGATCGAGGAGGATAAGATTCTGTGGTCACTGCTGGTCGACCATCAACTCTTTGCCCTAACAAAACTTGATATAAATGTGAGCATTATTTCAATATTAATGTGAGCCTACATGCATGAAACTTGGCCTGCCTCCCTCTGCAAGGTATGGTTTCCCGGAGGGGGCAGGGTACAGATTTAACAGGGTGTCCATCCAGACTCTTACTGAATTCTGGAAATACTGGGATGCAGGTGTTTCTTTTGTTTTGGCTTGACTTTGGCGGTATCATGTGAGACGGGATTTTCCAGGCATTGCTATCTTTGGAAAATATTCCCCAGAGAATGCATTATGAGTACACTTATAGTACGCCCTCTTTGCTTGGAATGGTACTGGTGTTCTTTCACTGTCAGTCTTAACTTATGACATCTGTCATGGGGCAGCCATCTTGTTTTTCTACCATTCAAAGCAATGTAACCAAACTGAGGCTGGATGGAAAAATGGTCTGTTCCCCTTTATCGATATGTTGAGTTGTATTATCATTGCCAATGAGTCTACAGGGATGGCAGCATAATGATCAAAGTCCGCACCCTGTGGACTAGATCAAGTCATGAATGCACTGCCACATAATGTGGCTGCAACTGGGAACAGAACATGTGCACCTATTGAAGCTACAGACTCACATTGCATCTCTGAAAAGTTTGCGCTAGTTTTAATTAATCCACAATGTTCTCTTGTCCTCCCCCCCCAGTGCGACGGTCAGGACGAAGTTGTTGCGTGTGCCTGGGACGGCCAGACGTACATTGTCAATCACTCCAGGGAGTCGGTCCGGTTTCACTTCCAGGAGAATGTTTGCGCCTTCTGCGCTGGTGAGTTCCAAGTTGCGACATCCACTTGACATTTACCCTTCCTTGGTTCTTGGATAGATTATTCAGGAGATTTCCTAACTGTAATTCCACTACTCTTCCTGTTCTGAAATGTTTTTATTTGATTAACAGAAAAGCTTTTTGTGAAAAAATAAGCTTCCTTTCAGAAGATAGAAGGCAAGAGAAGGATCAAACATTCCTCCCACAAAACTTAAAACCCCACCCAAAACAAGAACGTGGAATGAACACAAAGACAGGTTGTCATAGCTGAAAGCAGAAAGTGGATGCCATGCATTGTGTAGACTGTTTAATGCATTGTGTAGACTGTTTAGTCTAAGGCCGTGTCCGAAACGGGCTTCTAGAGCTTCGGCTAGGTCTATTGTCTGCGCGTCTCCACGCATTTCCAATGGAGCGAAGACCTAGACCTATCTCTAGACAAGAAATTCGGATGCAGCCTAAGTATTCCTTTCTGACCATCTTAACATGAGAGCTTGCTTAGTTGTTAATAAACCTGTTGGCACCCCCCCCATGTGCTATTTTAATTTATTGAAACTTTATTCCTTTAGAGAATGTTTAATTGATTGGAAGAAAAATCGTAATCTTGAAGACCTATCACATTCATGACAAGCCGAGTTTCTATGTATTTTTGTGCAGGCCAGTACAGCACCACTGGCGCCAATAAGCCGTGCCTTGTCTATGCGACATTCAACAAGCGCATCTACCTGTACTGGAACGTGCAGATACCCAGAATTCCCTCGGCGGACCTGCAGCTGGCCCTCTCACAAAACGACACAGTTCAGCAGAAACTGAAAGAGCTGGACATTGATGGTAAGCCGACACCGTCAAACCTTGAACCCAGATTGTCTGTTCCAAATATGAAAGATCCTAAATGACATGATTCTGACAGGAACCATCGTACTAGAATTTTTTTTCTTGGATTTTCTTGTTTCTTCCCCAGTGACTGATACCAGCAAATTACGAGAGCTTTACCAATGGTGTTTCTATGGCAACCACACAAAGAAGACAACTGAAGAGGAAACGTGACATGAAATCTCCCTTTGATCATTAAGTCAAATAAATCCTAATATCTGATGGAGACAAGCAGCATTATTTCATTTCCTGAACCATAACCCATTTATAGTACTTTAAGGTTTTTTGTTGAACTTGGTTCCAATTTGCTCAAAGATTGTGGTATTGTATTCTCAACCCCCATGTCTGCAGTGCCGTTACCACTCCAGTTTCTGTTGTGGTGTTGTTCAGAGTACAGATGTTGCATACATGTATGTCAATCTTTCATTGTATGATATCCGATTTCATAATTTCCCCGTTCTCCACAAGAAACTCTTTTCTTTGACTCCACATTCTGGCAGTAGCTATATTTTCAAGCAATTCCTGAGAAGTTAAGTGCAAACTCTTCTGTTAACTAGGGGAATCGTTTTTCTTATTTGGAGAGCTATATATATAGTTTATACAACCACAATGGTGTTCCTGCCTGTGCTTTGTTCGTAAGACCATGTATCAGGTTGAACGAATGTTGACAAAATCCGTAGTGTGCATCCTACCAAGTCTTTTTGGAAGTAATGAGACCAACGACCAAACTACAAAAATGTGTGAAGAAGTGAAACACTTTTCTGAAAAACTCCTTGCTGTTAATTTGTAATTTTGTTTGAGTTATGATGAAGTTATGTAGACTATTCATGCATAATGTTCTATAATTGCACGTAATTAACATTTAGGAATTAGGCTATGGGGTTATCTTAAGTTTCTAAACCAGTTTATAAAATGATAGATTGTGTTGTAAACACAGTTTTTAGAGCCTGCCCAGGCTAGAACAGCTCCAGAATGAGCTGGATGACTCCATGAATAAAATTCACGCGATCACGATGGCACTCACATCACGTGACATCCATTATTGCCGTGCACGCCGGGGCTCAAAACCTCCCGGGGATTTACTGTTAACCAGTTATCACTTCGATCCCTTTTCATCATCTGCGTGTCGTATGCGCAGCCGCCGATATGTTTTATCCATGGTGCACTGGACCATTAACAAATAGAGGACATTGACTTTCACAATGGGCGTTAATATTTTGAAATAGTAACAAGCAAAAACCTGTGAAGACAGTGGTTGTTGATGTTCAAAACCATAAGTAATTTCGGGACTTGTCAGAAGTGAAAGCAAATCAAATTTATTCCGAACCTTTATTTGTGTGATTTCAAATTATTTTAAATTTATTTTCTACAAATTACAGTGATCTGTATGTGAGCAATATAAAACAAATACTGAGTGGGTTTAAATTATGCAATGGTAGGAATATTGTTTATTCAAATATGGGTAACTTCCATTTCACGAGTTTGAAATTGAAAAGTCCCAAGTTTGAGAGGTTTCTGCTCCCATTCGACACTGAGCTGTCCAATACTGACTCGTGCTTGTTCAACTGGAAGACCATTCTATCTTGGACGTAATTCTTGTGTGAAGATACCAGCGACATAATTAAATGAGTGCGGACCAGCACTTGTATTATGTGCAGCAAACCAACTGTGAAGCCCGTTGAGATACGCGTTAACCACTAGCCCACAGGTGGAAACGGAATAATGCCAGTATCGAGTAGTAGCTGTAACGAAGTTTTGAGAATAACCATTTTCGGGTTATGTTAAGTGGATGTTTCGTGGTCAACTCATGGCTACGAATAACGTGCTGTTTGGATGTTTGTGTTAGTAACGCCGCATGCGTCAATCAATTCTTCCAAAAGATCCTTCTGAAACATTGTTTTTTTCAATTGGCAAGTCTCTCTCCCAGGGTATAAAAGTAGCCACAAATGTCCAATGTAAAAGACTTCACGTGAAAATGTAGTTCGGGAGCACTCCATGACAAGGCCTCATTGCGCTCTTGCTTTGGGAGGCAATTACCAATACAAGTACGTACACCTCAATTTCATTTGCTAATGGTTTAATTCACTCATGATTGGAGCCGTAATTCATAAAACAACGGGGATAATGGGGGTGAAAGAACCTTCTTCCTTCATTTTTCCATTGTTTTGTTTGATTCTCAATATGTTTTCCCTTTTGTTTTTTCTTACTTCTTATTTGTTTTGTTTTTGCCTTTTCCAAAACCTGTATATTATTATAAAACAACCTCTATCACGAAGAGGCGTAGAACGAATGCTACAAACAGATATACTGGCAGAGGAACAGGCTATTTCGTGTCCACTGTAATCCGGGGAGTTTGCCAAACCTCGGCTTTGTCTGCAGCGGCGGCCTCAGAATCGATAGTCTTCTAGTTCTAATCGACTATAGTGACTATGAGACCTTTAACGCAGTGCACTTAAATTCTAGTTTATAGCTCAGCTTCTTGTGATGCGGAGCTACAGTTTAAAGTATCTTCTGAAAGCAGTAAAGGTTGGGTTTTTGCCAAAAATGTCGAACTGGAGACGAACTGGCCACGTGGTTCGGAAGTCGCCCGGTACGTCAGCATGAAAATGGGTGGCAGCGGATTCTAATTTAAGCCCTGCATCACGAACAGTGCCGTTGGCGCGTCGCTCAGGCCCGCGTTGACTTGGAAGAATTTCAGAGAGAATGCCGCCAGTTGCTGGATTTATCCACTTTGTGAGTTTTTCTCTCCTAATACTGCTTTTAAGCTTTTATGAGTGTCAAGATAATTTCGTTTGCTTATTGGGGATGCCAGTTACTTATGCCAGAAAATGAAGTAAGAGACTTCGAAACTAAACTAGGCCTAGTGTTTGCGCGATGCAACCGATATCTACGCTCACGCTAATCGTACATTATCGGTTATCACGCCGTTTCGGGTACCCTTGTTTTTTTTAATTAGCACATCCTCAAGTTGAGCTTCCCGATCCCCCCCGACGGATTTTTAAAACCTAAGAATACTTCATAGGTCAGTGTATGTGGGAAAGAAAGTAATCCCCATTATCATGTTGAAATAGACCAAAACCGTATTTGCTTTTGAGCCGTATACAAGTAAATGTTACTTTCTACACCTATAGTGTTGTAATGTACTGGAGGATGATAAAGGTAACACCAAATAAAATCAACATTTTTAACACCAGTTAAAAGTGTTCGTGTAGTCCTCTGTCTTGGAGGTAGACAACAGCGATTGGCCATGGCAGAATCCACGAATACGTTCATACCGTCATCAACACCATGAAGTAGCACCCATCTCATGTGTGAGCCCCTTAAACGCGTATTTTACAGAAATATGTTATTTTCATTTTCACGAAGTAGCACTTGGCACGTGCGGCACGTGCTCCGTGAGTTGTCGTTGTCAGGAATTGACTTTTTCCTTAATTTTAACAGTTAAAACGAGTTTTAAAGAGCATCTTGTAGTTAATTCACATATTTACGGGTGAATCAAATCAGTTTAGACCTTTCATTATAGTGTTTTATACATGCTATATTGACAAAATACACATGGGTGCTACTTCGTGAAAACGAAAATCGTTCGATTATGCATCAGTGTACGATGTGCGGGCGCACACTTGAGTGCTACTTCGTGTAACTGAAATTGTTGTAAACATGATTTTCACAAAGTAGCATGCAAGTGCAGTTGAGTGCTACTTCGTGGTGTTGGTGATTACATACTCCATTGTCGTAAATCCCGGAGGATGGGGGTATTATGCCCCCCCTTTTTTTGAGGTGGGGGGATGGGTTAATGTTTCCTCCCTTCACTTTCTGTGATGAACAAAAAAAATTAAAGCGGACTGAAGAATTTTCAGGATTTCCCAACGACTACAATGTTTGCATATATATAACATTAAACCACTCTGATGTAAGATTCTGCGTGAATTTGATCGTGAACATCGCCCCCTATATAGTGTATATGGTGAGCCCATCCCCCGCTTTTCAAATTTCCATGGCCGCGAAAGTCATCCCCCACCTCCCCCCCCCCCATTTTCAACACACATTGTCGCCATTGACGTGCTCTGACGGCAGGGTAAAGGTTTCTTGAATAGCTTCAGTGAACGTCGGGCTTATCTAGCCATCGTAAGTCCCACACTTCCACAGTCCCACACATTTATTATGCTTTCCTCTTTTTTATACTCTTCGACGGAATCAAAGGGAGGTGTCGGCGGTATTAATTGGACGCTGATATTCACTGAGTGCATAAAGGTTTGTTCCTTAATACTTTGCATACTCTTTCTCGACCTTTATTCGGGTAACTGTGTTAACTAAACATTTGGACCTTTGGTAAAATTAAGATTGAACTTCGCTTTTTTGTAATCTGTATCTACTGAAACTGTTGACGGTTATTCATTAAAGTGCTGTTCCTTACAAAATACTGATGAAAATATATGACATAAGAAAATAACAGAAATAGACCTAAATACACAACAAAAGTTCAACATCGGAACAAAATGTCAGTAACAAGGTAATTTTGATTTAGTACGCGGTATATTTTCCCGAAGGTAAGATTATGATGGAGTATCAGAGAAAAAAGTTGTTGGTCAAAGTTTTCACTTAGAAAAGAAACGCTTCTGTTATTTCAACACTTTTGAGAATTTTTAATTTTTGCCATAACACAATGTCATTTCATTGATCTTTAGTACAAAAATTAAACCCACATATCAGTACTTTCTCTAATGAAATGTTTACCTTCAATATTCGAAACAAGTTTGAATGTACCTCATACTCGAATGGGTCGTCTACGAGGCAGTTATAAGGCTGGTGATTCACACAATAATGATCAAGTTCGATCAGCGGTAATTTGTGAACCACAGCTCGATTTTCCCTGATGCCCGACATATATTTAATGCATAGGTTACCAGTCGACATCGACCGTTAGTTGACAAAATTTTGTCGCTGATCGAACTTGCCCAATAATTACACATGAAATGTACATGCACCTACGTGCCGTCACTGCACTCGGTGGTTACGTCGGATGAACCGTAAGGTAGTGTGTCTTCGGTGTGTTCCCTGCACATCACAGTGCAGCCACTTCCGGCCTCAAGAGGTTTATTTTATTCATTTAGTGACACGTACGGAGCAGCGTGTATCTGGCAGGAATGTAGAGCCAATGAAGAGACGCAAAGTGCATCGCCAATCAGTCCCCTATGATACACAATGTGGAAACTTTAAAACACCGACGCAACAGTCGGAAGAAGTTGGATCAGGTTCAACTGTGTTGACTGCCTGCGTTGAGTCGCCGGGGAAGGCCTGTACAAACAAGCACGCCGCTGGTATGACAGGCATAAAAACGATGTCGGCCTCTAAGTTACATGTAAGTAGGCCCTACCACTGATTTTGCTCATTTTCTCCTTGTTTTTATATGACCCCCAATTGTAAACAGAATTGCTAACCATAAACAAAACAGCAAACCGGATCATCAGTTTGGCGCTAAGAGGCGGTACTGCCATCACTTAGAAAAGTATTTGATGTGAAAATTTTCTGCATTTCTGGAGCCGTTTTGTTTGACTTGTTGTGGAATGACGTCACGAAGCTTCCATAACTGTCTGTATTTGGACGTCTTGCTTTCCGTCGGCGATCGTCACAACCATATTAGGTCCCTAACGGGGACTCGCCATTATATCTCTTTCCCTGAAAGTCGACAATACCTTTCATCTTGAAATTTGAATTTTATGCATATTTACTGCTAAACAGATTGACACAAATCAGTTTAATTGCCCCCCTCGCTGGTTCTTATATTAGGGATAAACGTTGAAACCAATAGAATGTGTGCCTTTCCAGTCAAATACTTCCGGGCACGTGACATTCTCCAATTCCGCTGCTCTCTCCACGACAGACACTCTTCGCAAATCCAGGTCATACCACCCCGAGTTGTAATACTTCCGCACGGTCTGATAATGAGCTTCAATACGTTGGCTGCAGTCTTTCAGCCCTGTAGAACCTTTGCACCATGTCTGGAAGTGGTTCTGGGTGGCACGCTTTTCCTTCAGGAAATCGAACAGCTGAATGTTTGTGGTGTTTTCAAACCGTTTGCAGCCGGCAAGCGGTGCACCCACGTACCGCTTCGCTATGCAATATCCCTGCAACAACGGGTCGGGTGACTTATTAAAGTGTCTCCCAGCGTGTATAGTGACATGGATCTCCGGTACAGTCTCGTTCGGTTTGACTTCGAAACCTGGCTGCAGGTGTTGAGTGTTGTAGGCTTCCAGGTTTCTGTTCACATCGATATGCCAGTCATAACGGTCATGCTCAAAGTAGTAAGCGTAGTTCAAGAAAATGTTGACCGGACTCAGTGATCCACCCACCAACGCGACCAGTCTCCTGAAAGCGTCTTCAAAGTTAGATAGCTGTAAATAATAATAATTAGGTACATTACTAAGGGAAGAAATGTGTGCTTGACCGTTCTTAAACGTGTTGAATGCTGATAATGTCCTCACCCAGTGCGGCTCAGGCGTTAGCCTCTGTACGTTTTCTGGCTTATGAATGCGTTTCTCTCACCGACACAAAAATCGACTCCAATGAATTTAACGCACGTGTGTGCTGCGTTCGGCGGTGAAAATTACCCTAGGAACAATTGACGAGCATACGGAAAGGCGCCCGAATCATTAGGACAAGTGACGGTCATCACGGGCAACACGGTATAGGTGGAGTGTGAGGAAGCTTTCCATTGGTAAATTACCATCATGTGCACTAGTTGGCCGAAACTGCAACTAGCAAACTGATTGACCAAAGTGGTTATAATTTTACATCTTCCAACATTAAAATCATCTTCTAACTTTATAACTGATGAAAATGAACAAGGGGTGTGAGGGACAAACATGACATAAAACTGATATCCAAAAAATGTGTTTAACCAGACCCCCACTTGAAAGAGATTAAATATGTTTTAAAAAACAGAACTTAGTTTCACGAGCAAACCATCAACTGCAAAAAAAGTATTTACAAATACAATGAGCAAGCAGGAAAACACATTTTGATTTTTTAGAAAGCTTCCTTACAGAGACCATTTAAAGGGCATATATTTCTGGAAAATAAAAAGTCAACAGTTAAAAATGAAAAACAAAAAAAGAAAGGAAAAAGGAGGCATTTTAAAAATTGTCGTTTCTGCATGTTTAATAATCAGAACTGAAAGAATTCCTTAATGTGGACGCTACTGAATTGACACCCCGTGCAGAAACCATTGCAGACTGGTCTGAAAAGTTCAGTGTTTTATAAATAAACGGCTCGGTGTTTTCCGTCCTAAACTGAACTTTTATGGATATGATTTTGTTTTCTGGTGGCTATTAAGTCACTATAGGGAATACAATGTAATTACTGGCCTCCGTATGGAAGTCATTCTATCAGGACAACAGCGTAAGCGCATCTTACCTTCATGTGTGTGAGAATGTGATTCCTGCAGTTCGTAATGGTATCTCTCCAGATACAAGCCGGAAAGTACGTCATAAAGTCGGCCACCAATTTCTTGCCCATTGCAAGTTCTGTCGTCTTGTCCCATCCATGTCGACGGGGTATTACCCAGTTTGTAAAAGTTACGACTCGCAATCGATGGTCGTTGAAGATATTTTCAGTGGTGACGGGTGTCGTGAACATTCCGTCCGTGTCGATCCAAGCAATGATGGATGCGTTGATGTACAAATCCATGAAGAAACTGCTCCACAGTTGGCGAAGGTACCCTCTACTTTTCAAGACGGAAGGGTCGCTCGGAAGAGGCTCGTAAACAAAGTCAAACTTCACGCCAAATGCAGGCTCTTGCTGACTCAGTCGAGCTGCCAACCGGTGATCGGCTGTCGATTCTTTGTCTAGTATGACGCTGATGTGACCCAGCTTCGGTGACCAGAACAAGACGGCAGATCGCAAGAAATCACAGTATAGACGCTGGATCAGTCTAGGAACGGCTGCCATGCGTAGGGTGAGTGTCAGAGTATGGCCTTTAGTGGCTGTCAGACTGTTTCCTTTTCTCGAATCATCATGATGCACGTATCTCAGAAAACCGCCCTGCTTTGGCGAGGTAACTTTCAGATATAGAGGCCTGTTGTAAGCCTGTAGTACGGCTCCACAAACTAACACCAAAAACAACAACAGTGAAAATATAAACTTAACTGTCAACCAGAATTGCATGCGGAAATGACTCTGGGTGAAATTATTAGTTTTACTTATTGATCTGTTAAGACGAAACTTCGAAACGGGAATTCTATTCCGGTGCACTGAGGGCATTTTGCAGGTCTCAGTGCAGCTGATCTTGGTGGGCATGGTGCCGTGGAGGACCTTGACAGAGTTTCAATAGAATTACTTTTCATCGAAAACAACTCGTCTAAATGTCACAGCGGCGGGTATCGAACCACATATGCCTCAGTTATTGCTCCACAATGTGGCTTCGATGGAACACTGTGCTTGAACACCAACCTGACCACATACGAAGCGAGATATAAAGACGGAGAGAACCCTCCCCCTGCCGTGTGTTGTTCATTGTTTCACTGGAATTTGAGGAATTCTTTCAGACATCTTGGGCGTATTCAAATCCCCATTCTCGTGTTAGATGAACACGAGAACATGGTTTCCATTACCAGCACACTGTCGTAGAAACACCCCTTGCACAAGGGGTTTGTGCAGAAACCCTGTCAGACCGCAAGTATCTACTCCTAAGTTCCTAACCACGTTCAAATAACTCTGCAGCCACAGGGGAGTTCAGACTCAGCGACTGCTGAAACCGCAGGGTAAGCTGAACACACTATACAGTACATGTGTTTATGCATGCTCACAGTGCACATTGATTATGTCGGTGACCAGGTATCAGAAGGCCGTTTCAACCTCTTCTCGTTTTAACCTTCCACTTTTCTGTCGGTTGTGAAAAATGTAAATGCATGATGTTTCGTCATGGGTGTGGACAGTTACTGTTAAATAAACTTCATGCAGCAGGGATTTTTTGCCAACATTTTCACCGGCTTGATTGCCCCATCCTGTTTGTTTGCGTTTAGTTGTATTTATAAATTCACAAACCTTGATCGCAGAAATTTATGAACATTATAATGCCAACTTTATTAGTTCCTTATCTCATTATGTTGTATACTTTCAACAAAAGCTGTTTCCTTTGTGGAATTCGTGATCACTTTGGAAAGGGTTACAGTTTGCAACAATGATCTAAGCTTCATGACTGTCTTTCGTGTTATTGAGTTCAGCTTGGAAAGACCTAGCGGATCAATGGGCATAAAAATTGTTTGAAAATGTCATGACTTTTCCATGGACGACTGGAATTACTGGTGTAATGATTTCGATGCGGAGCCCATAAATGGATCAACACTCACATTCCTTGATCAAGATCGAAGACGACGCAAAAAAAGGTTGGAACCATTTGACCCTATGAGAATCCAGTCAAGGACTTAATTGTTGCAAGGGAATTTTTTTTTATTTAGGCAAGGAGAACGCCAAAGACGAGCAATGTCGCTGACAGCCTTTCTAAGTTGTTTGGAGGTAATTCCCTCCGGAACGATACTAACACCGTTGCAGGGTCAGAAGACGTTAAACAATGCTGTAAAATCAAGATGTATACGTCTTCTTTCATTTTCAAATGAGCCAGAAGGTAGAGACTTTAATATATAGCGACCACGAGACAGGCCTATGAATGATAAACCAGCCGAAAATTACACTTCGCCTAACACACAAAACGAGCAAGACCAAACAAGGTAGAAATGAGACTGATCAGCTGGTCACCTCCAAACAGGAGAAGCACGTGATGGTGAGCAGGCCGCAAGAGTCCCCGACAACAATCCCCTGCTTGCAGAAATAAAACATAATCTAGCCATTCTTGACAGCTACAGAGTTCCAAGTTGGAAAGGGTGCACTTCCACATCACATCAGAAAGCGAGGCGCAGAGAGGAAAAGCAACAAGTCATTGCATAAGACAGTTACCGGTATTGAAAAAAAGATGTAACAACCCAGATCCCCGAAACTGTGACTGCCGATCCAGAGAAATTGCCAAAAGATTACGGCAGCAGAGGGAGAGTGTCATGGGCATTGCACGCGACATTAATTTTGGTGAGAAAGGATATTTTTTTACTATGTATGGCTTTAACTGTAGCCTGCAGAAAGGGGAAATAAATGAAAACGTGGCTGCTTGGAATGGCCTTCACGAAAGGCGACATAATTTCTATCTTGAAGATGATAGAATCGAGAGATGGATTTTCTCTGTATGATGACATTGTCCAGGTTAACTCTGCATGGCATTTCCATGTTTCCATGGAAATAATCGAGCATCTCCGACAACTATTGCCTGGTTTCTTTGCTTAGAAGACAAACTGCCACTGTGAAAGTAGAGATGAATGCAGAGTTAGCTATTCTTCATCCTAAGCACAGAGGCAGTATTGCATCTTGTTTCAAACTTATGTACTGATTGGAGGGTTGAGTATTGAAAGGACACGCTAGAACAATTTCGTGTCGCAAATAGAAATACGCTGAGCCTGTAAAACAACGCAGGATAATAAAAGCATGCGTATAAATGGAAAAATATGCCAAGGGACACGGCCCGACATGCATCGGTGAATTCAAACAATAGAAACCCTTAGGCCTATTTCGTGGGATGGACTGTGTACAAACATAAGGATAACGAAAGAAAAATGCTGAAATTAAAATTTCGTTCAACACATTTCGATGGAACGTTGAATATCAGTACGCATGCAACGATTGAATTACAAGATAAGATGTAAGAAACGTTGAAAAGAGAGCATAAATGAATATTGCTGTCACTGTCCAATGATTTTGTCATTTAGCAGTTCAAGCATGGTCATCAAAAGAACGGACTTTTAAGACCAATACAAAACAGGGATGTTAGCGCTAGTGCAACTATTGCTGGATAGTTATTGCATGTCATTTATATGAAATGTCACAACTGTGCTACTAAGTCTGTTTCGTGTATCTGAAGGGTTGTTTCATTCATTTTGAATCTGAAAGATCACAAATAATTTAACAATGTTGACCGTGACAGAAAAATCAGCTGAATTCTATGTCAAACAAGTAGTTAACTTATAGAAATCTTTCATCGCCGTATCAATTTAAACTCTGTTTAATTTTTAATTCAGTTTGGAAATGTAAATTCAATAAAAACTTAATGTTTAAGGTGTTCACTTTTGCTGTTCTATATTGATGTTAACAGTTACCGATAATTTTCAGTATTTGGCAAAGGTAAACTTTAAGTGAAGTTTATTAAATCGTTTTCCCAGTGACAACATTGAAGTGCATGCTGGCGATTACAACTACAGACATTTTGAAACCATCTTCTTATCTAAGATGTTATAGCGGCATCATCATATCTCTTTTTTCACCGGCAACCAGCCCCGTCTGACACGGTCAATCCGGCGAGGCAATTTGCATCCCTTTCTAAGCCCGCGCGCATCCCCTTTTTCACCGGCAACCATGCTTCAACACAAACGGAAAATGTGACTTTAAAACTTTCCACAATTAAAGGAAACCTTAGTTTCTTGAAATTGGGGACTCAGTCAACTGAGTCCTATTTCAAATATATAATTCGGAACATTATTTTGCAAGAAAAATCCCATATAGATTCCATAAATAAGGTCTTTGGAATGAATGGAAACCGAATATCAGGAGTTTTACAATAGGGAAGCTCTCATACATATTATGAATGAGAGCTTGAGATGTCAAAATGTAACAAATTTGACTGCCAGTTTTAGTCCTAGTCCTTTGTAATTACAGTCTTCAATCGTCATTGTAAGATCCTAATGGGATGATTTTCTTGTAGCTCTGTGAATAAAATAAGTCCCTTTTAAATTAAAGCTTATTTGATAAAATTTTGGACCCTTCATTAAAACCTTTGACTATACAAATACATAGTTGGGGGACGAATAACTGAGGCCCATACAGCTTTATAGAATTTATGTCCCCAGCGCATTTCAAATTTTTTGGTATGGCAGAAACAGACCCTTTAGACGGCCTTTTGCGGCTTTTAGATAATTGATACAAGAATAAATTCACTTATATTCCAATCCACGAGACATGTGGGTTTGATTCTCTTTTTCCATGCAATGTACCGGTAGATAGACGTTTATTTAAAAAGTCTGTTTCCTGGCGAATTTTTCTTTCTTTCTTAGTTTAAATTAATTTCATTCTTTGGGTCGTAATTTTTTGATAATAATTTATCACAGGTGATGCGAAAATGAGCCGAGAGAAGATTTCTCTTTGGATAAGTCTGTGTGGAGATGGCACTGTCATTGGACCGGCCCGTTGAAAATGTACAGAGGCACAGACATCATTCGTCCAACGTCATTTTCTCTTAGTTCTGCACTTTCTTTCACTTTCGTCTCCTTAAAACCCTCTTCTGGGTGCAGTGTCCCAATTCAAGGAAAATTCTCCGCCAGGCCAAGGCGCTTATAAATTAAAGTACCCCTAAAAAGAGGGCTCTGTGTGGGCCTAGAAATAATGGGACTGCGTAAATATAGCCCAGGCTCCTCTCTGTAGATTCAGGGCACCCATCTGGGGGAAAAGCACACAAAAATGTAGCTGAAAATTTGCCAGAAGAGCCTGAGAAAGGTGAAGGATGTCATTTAAAAATTTGGCTGCTGAGAAGACTTGGGAACTTTCACTGGGGGGGTGAATTTGTTTTGGGCGGATAATTAACAAATTCATTGGTTAACCTACCAAAAGTTAATTGAAAATCAAATGAAATCTGAACGACCAAACAACGCATTTTAAAAAAATTTTGTTGAAGAGGCCTCAGGGACTTCAGTTGCCTGCCATGGGCCTCAAAACTTTGTTGATTTTACTCTCTTTTCAGTGGAGCTTGGAATAGGCCTACTTGAGCTCGGGCGCTGGGTGACCAAACTGATATCTCGCTCTATAACGTCTGCCGACAGAGGGCGCTATAAACAGCTCGTCAGCTGTATATCTTGCAAGGGTACCGGGTCGTCGCGGACCGACCATATTACGCTAGAGCTACGGTCGGATCGTGACTTCTAGAGCTGAGAACTTGTGTGATGCCACTTAAATTCCTGTCGGCGATAGGTATACATGTATGCCATGCCTATAGTATGGGATTGATACTAGGAGGCCTACACTTTAACTTTTCATTTGACATCATGCTCAACATGCGCAATAACTGTTGGTTGATGTTGTGAAAAGAGGGCAGGGTTTGGGGGAAATAATGAGGGGAATACTGTTGACAGTGTGAGCAGATTTCTACATACACGTACGCACTAGTGACACATATTGGATTCAAATTCATGGCTGGTTGATCATTACGAAAGTCACATCTTCTCTTACAATTCAAAATTTCAAAGAAATATGAGCAATAAAGACAGCGTTGCCTTTGATTTGGGGGGCTCGGGTGTGACCACTTTTATAAGAAAACATGACAAAAACTCGGGGGACCCCAAAGTTAGACCTAGCAGTTTCTAAATGCACTCAGGCGAGAAGTGCAATACACTCTATAGTCCCAGCCATGCCAGCCTGGGTTCAGAGGTTGGACTTCATCTTCATTACAGTAATTAGCTGTTTTAAGCTACGCCCTACCATGCATTAAAGCATCCTCTGCATACTTGAAATTTGATCTAGTTTAGCCATTACAAATTAAGGTGACATGAGTGAAAAGTAGTGAAAGTGGGGCCTGGCGAAAAGTTAGACTTTTGAAAAATACAAGGAGCAATCTTAATATTGAAAAGGTGTGATTTATATTTTTTTACCTTCTTTGGTTAGTGAGGCGTGGAACTCCGTGCAGAAGTCAACATGGTGAAAGGAGCCTTGCTTGGTGCCAGGGCAAAGTTTGCATCATTTATCAGTCTTTTTATCCTTGTCTTGGTGCCGGAGAGTGATTCTGTATTGCGAGGTCACAGACAGGAACTAGGTAGACACTGTGACCCCATTGGTCACATTGAGGTTCTTGAAACACTGCCCTCACCTGGGGTGTTCTGGGATCGTTATGCGAGCCAGCGTCATCCTGTCCTCCTCCGAGGTGCGGCAAGACACTCCCGGGGGATGAAGCTATGGTCAGATGAATATCTCGCTCGAACTTACGGTGACCTCAAGGTGAAGATCGAATCAAAGGCCGAGAAGGACACTTCGCCAACAGGAGCCAAGGGGCTTGGGCAGGACACGCTCGGAAGCTTCCTGGCTGCTTATCAGATGAGAAATGCCTATGTTGTTTCGCAGCTCCCCGACCCCATGGCTAGCGAGGTGTCCGTGCTCCCGTTTCTGACATGCGGAACGTTCAGGGAGAGGATCCTGGAGGCAAACCTTTGGATGAGTAGCGGGGGTACCAAGAGCCTACTTCACCGGGATGCTGACAATGCCATCAACTGTCTCTTCGCTGGACGGAAGGATTGGATATTCATTCATCCATCCTTTGAGGATCGCATCCCCATCGCCAAGGTAATGATCACATACTGTCAGTTGGGTAGGGTCCAGAAAGTGAGAATAAAAGAGAACTTCCAAAACACTAATCCAATCCACCCCAACAATATCCTTGAAATTGTCTCAAGCTAAGTGAAGGCACTGGACTATACATGTATATTCAGTATCATAGTCAAACCCTTTCCTTATTGTTCCAAAAATGAAGCCTGAGAAAGTATTTACTAAGTGATTTACCAATATTAGTCCAGTATTTAGTCTTTTTAAGGGTTTGCGGGGGGGGGGGTTGGGGTGTATGGAGTTGAGTATGAACAGAACCCCAAATCCTGTGGAATCCAAATTCATAATCAAAAATATCTTGGGCGATAGTTATCACTTGAGCCTACTGATCTGAATGCAAACAACCAATACAAGATAAGGTTTGTGCATTATACGAGCCAGCTAGGATTCAGCAACTCGGAAACACATTTCCTGGTGAAATTATTCCGCCCATTTAGGAAGATGTGGAAGCATACGGCGGCTTTGCCCTGCTGGATCCAGACAGTGTTGATCTGGAGAGATTCCCGGCCTTTGCTGACGTGGACTGGTCCTATGCAAACATTACAGCCGGAGACTGTCTCTTCTTGCCCTACGGTAATTTACACTTCTGTGGGGATACACCATCAGTGGAATTGTTGTCACAGTCCATTTTGGTATGTTGCAGTAATAACCCACAATTTGTCCTCTAGAGACCAGAATCAAGAAGGGGATAAGTTTTTAATTGACTTTAAGCATGGCTCCAGTCCAGACTTGAATCAAGGCCACAACTGCATGTAGTGTTCATTTTTGAAGAATAGGATATGGTCTGAATTAGTCTCCCATCGAGACTGACATGAACTTGAATGCAATACCTGTTCATGTGTGGATCTATGCCACTAGATCACTGCGGTTTCAGAAAAAATCTTTGTGTAAAGGAGCCACTGGATAGCCATTTCCCCCAGCCACGTGTACCACTCCTGTCACAGAGCTGATTGATTTAGACACAGTCAGTAAAAGATTTCCTTCTGACTCATTTACATTGCTCTTGTGTCGCGAAGGTTACTGGCACCAGGTTCGCTCATACGAGAGAAACCAAGCTGTCTCTGTCCTCTTTTCCCGATTGACCGAGGTTGACTTGAGCGATTGCCATGACAATGACCTACACTACACTCCACTAAGTGAGGTTAACATGGTGTACACCTATGACGGATATGGTGATCAGACAATGGGCGATACCGATCCCTTCGAACTCAAGTAAGGATTTACCAGAGAGAAATTTTGGGAGCCTGGTCCCTTGAGAAAAAAAAAAACTCCCTCTTCCCTTGATGCGACCTGTAAATCATTGGTTTTGGGCAGAGAGGTCAAGAATGTTGTATAGAATACAAGTTGTCTGTTTTCTCTGCTTTGAGGTGGTGTGTTGTTGAAGACAGAAGAATCACCTACAATGTATCTACAGAATTCTCAACTTGTTCTACAGACAGTTAAAGAGAAGCACTTAGTAAAGAATTTTATCAGAGGCCAGAAGAAGCCTCAACTCAACATGGCTGACTATTTGACAATCTGCTCTTTTGAGAGGCACCCTCCCTCATGGTGCAGTAGAGACAGGCTGGTTGGAAGTCTCTTGATTGGGCTCGAAAATTGGGTGTGGTTGCTCAGTGCCTCCCTCACAAAATGCGCATCAACCTCTGTACACATGCGATGTTTCCCACCAAAGGGGTACATTGTCGTGTCGAAACTCGCTACCTCTTCCGCCACTGAGCGGGTTCAAGCGTCTCTTTTTCCTCTGTGTTGTGGTATCCACACTTGACTGCATTGCATTGCTCTTTGTGAATTTGATCAATTTTGCTTTTAATCTTAACCAATACATGTATGTAGTGACACTTTGAAGGAGTGGTGCGCCAATTACCCTGGAGCTCTGGACTGGTCTGGTTTGCTAATGGGACTTCTCAAGGTAAAATCTCAGGGGTTCTATGTGATTGAATCATCTTCTAAGAAACAGCACAAGAGAAAAATTCATCTAATATGAATCCAACTTAGAGTATGGAAATATATGTACCAGAACAATCTGGCCTCTAGATGACCATACACTTTCAGAAAACCCTAGTGATACAAGTACATTACATTGCATTTCCTTGGTTCAACCCCCCCACTTCTGCTGCCAGCTGTATTCGTTTCTAGTGCCTTTCTTTAAGGAAAAGTTAAGTATTGCAGTGAAAATAAGCATAACAGTGTGTTTCAGTTGTGAAAAGAGAATTTGTTAACAAATACCAAAAGTAATCACATGTGACATTTGGTCATTTTCGCTTTATACATGTATACAATGCCTGAATATGTTACAGTCATCTCATTGGTGAGTTTTCACATCACATGACATGAAATATTCGGACCAAAACATTGTGCACTTGCACACATGCTATAAGAACCATGTAGGAGACTTAATTTGGTCAAACCAAAATGCATGATAGCGTCATCCACAGTTAAGCTCTTCACACAGATGTTGCAAATGATAAATTCAAAGGGCCGGTCACTCTCTCAAATGAAGAAAAGACTTCTGAACATTGCACTGACGAACATTCATTATGAGTGGAATATTTCATTGCCTGCAGGAGTATGGTTTGGATAACACAGATGACCCAACCCCCAACCACATACTGAACAGCAAGCACAGAGAGGTAAGAAACAAAAGTGTCATGCTGACGGGTAAAAGGGATTAAATTTGGTGGAAGGAGGGTTGGGTTATTGTGGAAACCACATATCTTGACAAAGGTAAAGTATAAGGGGTGTCAGTGGGGTCCATCTGAAAGCTGTAAATATTGAACGCAGTCATTGGTGACCTGATCGTGCATTGTTTGTTATTAAACAAACTTGCGACCTCTGGCATAACTGTGCAGCACAGAATCCATTGAGATGTAGAGGAAAGATTAACAGTGTTGGGAAGATTTCCCCAGATTTTGGGTTTTGACATAAAAAAAAAAATTGAGGAATTGGCCACTGAAACAAAATCCACTAAAAATACATTTTAACGCAGAGTCATGATTCCTGTTAGATTTCAGGGAAATTTTTGTTGCACACATTGTACCTGACGAACTGGCAAATCGGCCATTCTGGTGATTTTCAGATTTTATCGAACGAACTGACGAGTAGGTTTGACTGCAGTATTGCTCTGAGAGCCAAAACTACAAATTAGGAAATCATTTCAAAGACCAATTTTGTATCTCATACATACAAAAGAGGGTTGAATTAAATATTGAAAACGAGCACGCAATAACTACTTAACTGAAAACTTGTTTTTCTCGAAAACGGTGATATTTTATATTCGTCAGTTCGTCAGATATACAACATTTTCTTTTAGCATTTTGAATACCCCAACTTTAAACTCTTGCCCCTGTGTTATTACAACCTCCAAAACTCTTCAAACTTTGCCTGTGTCAAAGGCAGATGATAACTTTGTGTCTTGTCCTGTCACATGTCATTTTTGACAAGATGCTGTCTTCTATGTAATCCTATCAGTCAGACCGGCTGTTGATAGCTTTCAGACTGGCCCCATTGACACCCCTTATTGTTATTCTTTGTTGCTAACCGTTTTCCAGCGAGAAGCCCAGCAGTAATTTTGTGTATTTTTTCTGTGGTATTCACTAATTAGTTTGAAGAAGGCATTGAGGATAAATCAAAAGCTGACGTGATCAGACCAATGCTAGCAGAAGCGACAGAAAAGGTGAGTTGGGAAGTCTTAATTATCTTGGTAAACAATATTCAAGTCATTGACTTGGGAGTCATTAATGATTTTAATTTTTTGCTGTACTTTGCTCATACCATTAATGATTAGTGTACTCATTATAGATTTTCCCAACTCTATGAGATGACATGTCCTGTGACCTTTTTCCCAGGCAAATGGTACACCAGCAATTATAACGGTAGTTTATAAATTTGTATGCATCATTCAGGTTTTTTAGTCATAAGAGTGCAGTTGGTTTGCTCCTGCACATTGTAATTCAGTGCCATGGCAAATGCACAACTGTGCCCACACTTGGCATGTTGCTTTAAGGTTGAACGCGGTCACTGATGCGAGTCATAAAGTCATATTGTTGCACTTGAAGTATCGTCACTTGTTATCTTCAAGATGATAGACATCTTGGACACCAATCATGATGGTCAGGTGTCCTGTGACGGTGAACTAAGCGGTCTGCCCCTGAGCACCCTGAAGACTCTGGCCAACATCCTGGACGGCGACAGTGCCAACACAGAGGATCATGAATATGTCAGCTTCTCACCTCAAGCCATCAGGTAAAAGGGGCTGAAAGTCAGGCATACTACCGACCCGTCTTTCCAAGCCAGGGTTTCAGCTAAACTCAAAACAGTGAACACAAAGAAGCTAATGTTTCAGCTAACTGAAAGCAGTGAACACAAAAATGACCTAGGGGGGCCTTGCCTACATCAACGCCTGTTGAAATTTTAGGATTAGATTTTGTCCTTTACTAACTTGATACTCTGGTGCACTGCATGGATGGATGGATGGCACTTGCATGAGACTTACGAGGAAAACTTTGAGTTGAATCATGGATCTCTGACTTACCAGTGTTGTCATCAACACGGGCGATTCACAGTAGAGCGCCACCAAGAGTTTGCAACACGCTGGCCAATCATAATGCATGAAATTTGTCAATCATTTCCAAACGAGACATTAGGTCGACAAATTTCGCGCATTGTGATTGGCCAACACGTTGCAAACTCTTGGTGGCACACTATTGTGAAAAGGCTGTATTCACCCTGACACTGACTGAACCACTGGTTATTGTTTTGTTAATTAAAAATAAATCAGTGTGGGACTATCAAACTTTCCCCAGTGACAAAAACTCAATCAGAACTTCAGCTAGGGGCACTTGGGTTAGAGAGTCCCAAGTGTCTTCAAGTCAGTGTTGTAGTTGAGTCCATGAGGCTTGTCACAAGTCCAGTCAAGAATCCGCTCACAAGACGAGTCATAAGTGTGAAGAGTGACTATGATATGCTTGTGTTGCAGTCCATTGAAATGGCTTGCAACGTTGTTTTTGACTGGATGATTTGTGTTGATGGACCGGCAAAGACATGTAACGGGCTTGATAACATTGCTTCAATTATACCCTTAACTCCAATCTCACTTTGCAGGGGCTTCCTGATGGAGTGCATGCAGCGAGCCGACACCCACTCCAACGGGGAGCTGGCAGGGGCAGATTTCTTGGACCTCTACCAGGCATTTGGCGGCTCTATCAAAGGAGGGAAAGAGGTATGACAAGAAGAAGTCGATACAGTCTTCGCACCAGCTGGAATTCTAGCTACCACTCGGTTAAAGAGCACCTCTAAGGAAAACACGTTTTCTCTGATTTTATGGCTACATTGCATCATTTGGCATGCACAGGGTATATCCACTACGAATACAAGGCGAGGGTTCCCCTTGTTTTCTCAGAATGACGCTATCTACATTCAGAATTCGCATCTTGGCATGAACAGAAAAAAGCCCTTTTAAGCTTGTTATAGTTGAGCTCTGAAGACTAATGACACTGCATTTGATTTGGGTGCTTCCATATTTATTTGAACAGATAAAATCAGAGAAAACGTGTTTTCCTTAGAGGTACTCTTTAACCCCCTGGGAAGACTTAAGAGACCTCTGAGTAAACCTCAAAATTGCTTGCTTCTCCGCAGGTGCTCTCTGTTTTGGATGAGGAAGGCAACGGATTCATCTCCAGAGAGGAGCTTCACAGCAACTTGGAGAAAGTGCTGATGATGTACAGCAAGAAAGCGAAGCCTGATTCATCAAGTAAGCACATTTCAAGAACAACCACTTGCAGATTAGTTCCGACTTGAGGGCTCTGTTCAGCACTGCAACTGTGTTTTCGCTTAACCCCTTGACGATGGGAAATTTTTTCTGAAAGCCGACTCCACAAATTCTAGCCTCGCTTGGACACGGAGGCCACCTGCCAAACTGCAAATTCTCGGTTTGTGGCCCTGCGTGCTCTGCATGCTTTGAATTACACATTGAAAAGGCTCATTGTTCGATGGTGTGCGGCTCTACTCACACTTCCACATTCCCGTTGCC